CCCCCCCCCCCCCCCTTGGGGAGTCCAACCCCAAGGGTCACATACTTGAACTTAAATATAAATGGTTAAAAGGTTAAAGTTTTAGTAGGGGCTAAACGAGGTCTCCATGGCGACGTTGTTCCATAACACTGACATTTGCTGGCTGCCACCCGAGAAAACAAACATGGCCTCCGGGTGTGAATTTTATGCCAGTGTTCTTTTGCTTTTCATTGCTGGGTGTGTCGGCGTGTGAGGACAGTCGGATCACTCCCTAAAATCAGATAAGACTGAGGACTTTGTGTCGACCCTCAGACATGTGGACATTGTCAGAGGGACCGCGTTGAGTGGGGTGGTTCCTGCAGCCGACTGTCACAGCTGCTGATTAAATCTTCCTTGTAAAGCACTTTGAGTGTCGTTAGAGCTAGAAACAGGCAGATCCACTGTGCCAGGTAAAATATTAGATGTGTCAGGAACACATTTAGTGGATTTTTGTCTGAACACCACGACACCAGGCGATAATGTGCCTGTTTGTTGTCTTAGACGGTGTGTTCAACAGCTACGTCTTGTTCGGACTTGTTGGGAAACGTCTCTAATAGTTTTATCACACCGTGTTCCAACCGCACAGTTCATCTTCACATCTTTGAGTTCCTTCTAAGGATGGCAGCATGTCAAACTGGGACGCATGACCGAACAAAATAAATAAAATCCAGACAATAAAAGTTTGTCAGCCAACATGATGAGGCCCGAGTCGAATGCAGGCGGGCACACGAGGCGTTTTTCCACCCTCACTCGTCATCTCTTTACTTCTTGTTCATGTATAAACAGAGAACCTAACTCTGGTTACACAGTATGATTCTTTTCTATCTTCCAGTTTTACTGCATGTGTCTTAGGACTGGGTGATATGGACCAAAATTAATATCTCAATATTATTATTATTTTTTTTACAATGAATCGCGATATACGATATATATTGCTACTTGTTTCTACAAAGTAATAACAAAACTATATTTCTCTGAGTCAAAGCTTTGTCCCAGTTGTCACACAGGCCCATTTATTAACAAGCAGCTGTAACTATACATAAAAAAATAAAATAAACTATTTACTTATATTAAATAATAATCCTCTTCAGCTGCGCCGCCTTCACGACGTTAGTTAGCCCCGTTGTTTTTAGCCGTCTTGCTCCACAGCTGAGATTGTGTCCGTGTCTTTAACGATATAAGCCACTGCTTTATTAATGTTGCGATACCTCTCACTGTTCCTCTCATAAGGCACAGCGTGGCTAAATAAGTTGTGTACTATGGTTTGTCTCAGGGAAGGAGGCTGAAGTCAGGTGCAGCTTCACACTCCACTTATTTCTTTCCACCTTTATTTATCCAGGCTAGCCTCACTGCGCCACGGGGACTCATGTACACCGAAGGACCTGTATAGACTTATAGCGCTGTTTTAAATGCTGAAAAAGATTCACAGTGATAACTTTTTGTCGGGACTTGTTTTCAGTATTGTCTACAGAAAACATTTTTCTGCTGCTCATCTGACGATTTCAATCCAAACCATCTCCAAATAACAGCCATTGTTTTGTTTTTTTGCTCTTCTGCTCTTCGATATCCTCTCCCATGTTTACTTGTTGTGCTAAAGTCCCGCCCACCTGGAGAAGCAGGAAGTGGGGGGAGCACGTGCGGGGTGTTTGTATTCAGTGAGGGAGGGGGGCCGCGTGTAGTTGGCGCAGACGGGACAAAAAGAACTACACGGATTTTCAACTCTAATTAAAACTCAACATAGAAATATCGATATAGACGATTTAGTCATGGGGGCCGAGATGGTGTAGAGGCAGGGCAGCCGGCTTGGGACCCGAAAGTCCCAGGTTCGATCCCCAGTCACTGCACATCACGTGGCGTCTCTGGGCAGCACGTCTCATCCCCAAAATGTCCCCCGGGCGCTTTCAATAGCTGCCCACTGCACCACCTGGTGGTGGATGGGTTAAATGCAGAGACTAATTTCGCCATTGTATGGAAACATACAGTGCTGACATTGTGATGACATTATTATTATTATTATTAGTCCCATCTTATATCGCATATGAAATGATCAATCTCGATATCTTAAAAATATCGAAATATCGCACAGCCCTAATGCGTCTGATATTAAACTGTGTTGTTTCTGTGTTGCAGATGAACGCGATCGAGTACAGAAGAAGACCTTCACAAAATGGGTTAACAAGCACTTGATAAAGGTAAAACCGGTCTTTTGCATTCAGAGCACATGTCTGCACACATGCATGCAATGAATAATACAGTCAGATTTATTAAAGAACTAATAAATAAAGTTTTTCTAAACAGTGAGGTCAGATCTGGGCCCTGCTTTTCTGAACTACAAACTCGGCTGTTATCAAACTGTAAATAAGCCCCAAGCTAAATGTTTAATGGATAATAAAAAGCAAATACTTCCTTGGAAATCATTGACCTAATTTATTTTAACCTACAAGATGTTTGGGTTCGTGTTTAATAAATCTACCCATTTTATATTTAAAACTCAAGCTCATTTACACAAAGGGTGAAGTAAAAAAAAAGTTGTGTTTCACAGCCAATAACTGTGTTTTTATTTTTATTTTAATACATTTTTGTTTTTCCAATGTATGGTCAATTTTATGATGCAATTTATTTTTTGTTCTTGTTTTTTTTTCTTACCAAGTTATAAAGCTTAATACAAAAGCAATCTATTAATAAATAGCAAATAATTAGAAATAAATGTATTTGTTCTAAGTTTTTCACAGCCGATCAGATCAGCTAAAATTAACCAACAACAATCTAAACTTACACGTACTAATATTTTACTTTAAACTTATAATAAATACAAAAATGAAAATAAAATATTAATTAAACCAGACTGGTTGTTCAATACACGTGAACTCCACTGATTGTTGTTTTTAGTCCTGTTTGGATGTTTAAATATATTCTTTCCATAAATAAACAATTTAGCAACATTTTTTTTTCTGGCTTCAAAGTTAGGTCATTTAAAATCTGAATTTAAAGAAATAACAGAGACTGAATCAGTCAAAGATAATCAGAACAATTTAAAAACATTAAAAAAATATCTGTAGACCGGATAAAATAGTTCAAAGGGCCAGATCTGGCCCACGGGCCTTCACTTTGACAAATGATTTAAAGATAAATGATCTCTGGCTGAACGATCCTAAATTATTATAAATGTTTTATTAAAAAGAGGAGTTTGGTTACCAGCTCTCGTGTTTTATTTGGTTGTTGATCAGTAAATATGAGTTATTTCTCTCGTGTTTTTTTAATTAGCAGTGATAGTTTAACATGTTGGTTTATTAATAGTAGAACAAATAGACTCCTGAACAAAAATAAAAAGTTGCTGCTGCTTTTAAACTTGATGTTGCAGCAGAGTCACATTAATAATATACATTTTTAAATAAACAGACCTTAATATAATTATTTGCTTCCCTGTTCATTGTAGCCATCTTTGCACATTTATCAAATAATTATAACCAAAATATTATCCCGCCCTCCTCTTCTAAAAATATACGTTAACAAGTCGGTCGTTGTTTCGCACTCGGTTCACTTTGATCAGGAGGCGTGCCAGAAGTCCTGCCTGTCATCAAGCTGAGACATTTAATGAAACATCTCATCTGCTCTCACGTCAGTCTCTGCTTCCTGACTGGGATCAGAAATCCATCAGGGTGACCAGGTCAGGAGGAGGGGGGAGGTAGACCCCCCTCACTCTGGAGTCCCTCATTGCACCCCTCTCCTAAAGCAGTAAAATATTCCTCCCAGGGAGCTTTCTTTGGCACGAGTATATTCACAGTTATGTGACATGAGGAGCCATAATTTCTAAGTCCAGCTCAGACATAGACCCATTCATTTCTTTCAAATGGAAACGAGAGGAAAAAGGCACCGCGAGTGTTATCCTTTCCATGAATGTGCGTGCTAGCGTTAGCTGCTGTACTGGCTCGAGCTGCTGCAGGGACTCCTGTTTGTTCCCAAGTGTTCAGTGTGAATGCTGAACGGTGAATCAAAGACATCTGGACTCACTTAGCTCCCTCTGTGAAGGCAAATTCTGCCCTGGCTCCAAAGCCCATAGCGGTCGATGCTAACAGTAGCACATGTGCTGCACAGGCTCCTGGGTGTGGGTGGTACCTGCTCTCATGCAGGCCTGGAACTGAAAGACGTGCATGGACTGTTTCACAACTTCTCACACCAGCGTTTTTGTTATTTAGTCGCCATCTGCAGTAAACTGTCAGAGAAACAGGAATGGGTTTAAATGGGAAAGTGTGAATTGTAAAGACTGGTGGCCAAACTGCTGCTGAACTGACTTTAATGGTTGACTCAACAGACTGTGGGCGTGTCCTGAAAAACTGGAGAAAGCCCTCAAACGTTGACCATAAATCTCCTTTAGGTGCGTGTGACAAAGTAGAATGTCAGTCCAGCTGCAGGATGAAGACCTGTTTTTTTTGTAATTTTCTTGAATAATAAAGCCTCGTCCACTTTACAACAGACCTTAGACAGTTTCTGCTGTTTGGACCTCCTGTCCACACAAACTGAGCTCTGTGTGAGAAACACATGGTTTTTATAGACTTCCAAAGTGGAGATTTATAAAAACTTTGATTTTGGTGTTTCTTTTGGGTTAGAAATCTTTAGCTTCATAAAAAATAATGACTCCCTTAGTAGTTTGTTTTATTACTTTGTGTTCTAGGAACAAAAATAACAAAGAAAGTAGTTTTACGTTTTACATAATAGTCTCCTTTATTCTGATCCCCATAAACATTTATTACTGAGAGGAAATTATAATTACAAAAAAATATCAGTTAATAATAACTGGCTAAATGTAGTGTAGTCAAATTAACTCTATATGTTTACCAGTTTGGAGAAATGACGCAACAAAGATAAAAGTTACGATAAACCTTATGGGTGGTGCATCATTGACAAGTGAATGCACCACAATGATAGGATGTCAGCCAGGCTATTTGCTTCAAAGCACTCATAATGCAGCTCATTGATGCTTTTTCTTTCAGCGCCAGCATTGATCTCCACATCTGCTGTTTCTCCCTCACAGGGAACAATAATTAAATGCTGGTGATAGACAGATTTTTTGCTCAGCTGAGGACTAAATACCAGTCAATAAGCTGCTTGTGAATCCTAAAACCCAAAACTTGTTCTATATAAATTAGCTAACGTGCATAATGCGAATAATCAGCACGTGATTAGTGATTTCTGTGCCTGCTGAAGGAGTTCACTTCAAATGTTTATTTTTTTCCCCAGCATGATGTTTCATGCAGGGCTTTAGGGGTGTAAACAGCGCCCTCTGGTGGTCATTTGTTATATTGCTCTACAAAACTACTGTTGGAAAAAAATGCAGGCAGGAAAAAACATTTGAACAACTAAACAATTTACCCATCTTTAAATAAACCAGCCACAGTTTTAACATCACCAAAACTATTAACATTTTAAAGCAGACATCTTCATTTCCTTCAAACGTACCCAGAAGCAACACTTTACTGACTTTTATACTATATATAAAACTGGATCTGTAATTAAATTTAACAAATATAATGATGTTGTTTCTTTCTATCCTCTGCTAAGCACTGGAAGGTGGAGGTAGGTAACCAAACACTGTTAAAGGACTGTGTGTCTGCATGAAGACAGCCCCCTCCCTCAGTGGTTTTGTCCACTCTTTTTCCATTCAGGCTCTAGTTTCCTGGCACCGCCACAACTTTTTCTCTCCTCTTGCTTCATTGTACGGTTTGAGCTGCACCACACCTCCGCAGTGTGAAGATTGAGTTCACTGGAGTCTGCTGAGTGTTAAACTCAAAACATACATTTGTCTCTTAGAGAGTTTCACCTTTATTTTACCTTAAGAGCCATCTCTCCCCCCTTTTTTGTTAATTTGGGGTTTTATCCATCAGCTCTCAGGGTTGACAGCTGCTGTTTGGCATCTGGAGCTGGAGTCAGGCGTGGCTCCTTACGGCGATGCATTCCTGACTTGTGTGGAGTCGTGCTTGTTCACAGGATGCTCTGAGCGCTGCAGAAACCAACACTGCTGCTGCTGAATGTAGCTTTAGTCACACGTTGCTACCTTTTCTTCACTCAAAGTGTCAAACAGTGTTCGCAAAAACGCTGCAAATCCACAAAACTGCACAACTTTTTATTGAGTGAACTATGAATTATTGCAAATAAGTTCTTTAACCAACTTATTTGTTGTATTTGTACAACATTCTTAACGTTTTAGAGCCTTAAGACAAAGAGTTGAAGCTGTCATAAATGCAGCTGATGAGTTCAAAACTAAAGTTGTGTGTGTTTCCCTCTCCTCCTGCCAGGCGCAGCGTCACGTGACAGATCTGTACGAAGACCTCCGGGATGGACACAACCTGATCTCCCTGCTGGAGGTCCTCTCTGGGGAGACGCTGGTGAGCGCTGCTGACATCACAGTTTGATTAGCCACAGAACAATGTGCCTGAGCTCTGCATCCTTTGACCTCAACCATGCTCTAACAGTCAGAAGCAAAGCTCATCTTAAAGTGACCTGAAATTCAATCCCTGTGGGAACAAATCTGCAAACATCACAGCCAAGAGAGAGGATTAACCTGGGCTGAACCTGGCTAAACAAAAAGGGACATTTCAGACTCTAGTTGTCGTTTCTCTTCATGTCACCTGCCATCTTTTTTGGTTTATTTTGCTTTATCTGATATTTTTATTCAGCTGAATGCCGGATGTTTCTACATTGTGGCTAAAGTCAGCAACAGGCCGTTGACATTTTGTGATTTGGAATCAGAAGCTTCTCCGCTGCTGCTGCTGTACTCCGTCTCTAACGTCAGCTCCAGCTCTGCTCTTCTGAATGCTGTGACTTCGTAACTTTGCTCTGTTTATGTGTACATGAAGCGTTCTCTGGTTTGATCCACGGTTCTTCTCTGCTCCTCTCTCTCCTGTTCCTCTCCTTTCTGTTTCCCTCCCTTTAACCTTTGTGCTCTGATCTTTGCTCTCTGGCCTCCGCCTGCTTTCCTGCACGTTTTGCTTGCTCGGGTTAGCCGAGGGAGAGGAACATGGTCAGGAGCGTTCGGTTGGTGAGTGGCTTTGTTACTTACAGTTCTGACCTGGTTTGTTGTGTTCTCCTCCACTGTAGCAGTGATTTGGCTCTGCATGGCATCCATGGACCTGCGTCATCATGATTCATCCTCATGTGGCCTTTTATTCTCACAAGATGATTTTTAAGCATGCACATGCTGAACAAAAATACCCCCCCCCCCCGTATCCTATGGGTAATAAAAAAAAAAAAAAAAAAAAAAAAAAAAAAAAAAAAAAAAAA